GTGCAACATCCAGGCACATAGCTGAGTAAACTTTCTTCTCTTCTAGCGAATTTTCTATTGTATTGACAATTCTATGGACTTGATCAATTGTACAGTGTTGATTCCTGAAACCGAACTGATGATCCGGGATAATATGTTCTGTTTCAATTATTGGTTCTCGTCTTTTCAATAGAAGTTTTTTAAATAGTTTGGAGATAACTGGTAGTAGTTATATTGGACGATATGATATTGCTTCATGGGGTGGTTTTCCAGGTTTTGGAATCATGATCTCTTCTGCCACCTTCCATAACTGTGGGACGCACTGCAGTCGAAATGAGGCATTGATCAGTTTGGTGCTTAATTAATGCTTTTTTCGGTAATTCTTTGAGGATCTGTGCTGCGATTAAGTCGAATCCAGGAGCTTTTTTGAGATTCATATTCGTTCTTTATCGGTTTAATCTCTCGTCTCAGCTAAGATGTAAGATTATTTAGTTTAGTTTTATCCTGCGGGGATCTGGACTGTCGCCATATTTTCCTTGCTTTTCTTTTTTCCGATAATAATTCCAGAATTTCTTTAGGATAGTTAATTCCCTTCCAGCTTCCTTTTAATAGAAAAACTATGGAAAAAAAACTTATGAAAAAATTAAAAAAAAGTTTTTTCAATCCTTGCATTTAGAACTAATATCACTTCGAAAATACAAAAATCAATTTAATTTAAAAAAAAAATACGTACGTTAAAGGGTTAATCGAAAAGTGCGTCCACTATAGTAAGTAATTAACTGGATAGAATGCCTTGAAAACATTTCGTGATAGGACATCTCTGCATCTGTTATTTTGGATCACCCGGAAAAAAAATTTGTAAAACTGATAAACTTTATTTTATGACCAAAGCTTTTTCGGGAACTTTCTGAACACTGTTTGAGCTAAAATGTTTTAATTGTCAATCAGAAATTAAGAAAAAAAAATTGATCGGCGCCGATGTACACCTAAACCAATTGAGACATTTTATCAAAAGTAATATGATTTGTTACTGTCTCCTGTTGATATCGAGTGTTCCCAAACTAGATCGCGTCAATAAAATATTCTTTCAGCAAAGTCCATTGAGACATGCCTAACGAAATTGCCAAGGGTTTTAAACCTAAATCCGATCTCGCATTGCCAAAAGAAAAGTAATATTTTGACCGGTCTGGTTCTTTGCATACAAAAATATCCATCGGTCTTAAATTCTCTGGAGAATTATCGATCTTTGTATCATTGCTGAGAAGCACATACAGGGACGATAGATTTGCTTGCATGAAACTTATTTTAAGGGAAATAGTCGTTATAGACAGTCATTAAATTTCGTCCCTGAATATTTAGATATCTGCGGTTACTATGAGTACTGATTATTTTTTCATCAAATCACGTTTTGTGTCCAGATGGAACTTTTTAATTCAAGTCGTGCTTTGATATCGTCACAATAAGTTTATTATTACAGGACAGGTAATTAGAAGTCAATTGTGATATTGTATGTCCACTTAATAATCATATACAGGGTGATTCAAAATTGGCGTCATTCCTCTGGAGGTGTTGTCTGGCGCTGTTATAGGAGTACAGAAAAAATAGTAAAATAAATTAATTGTTATTAAAAATTGAGAAATTTGCAAAAAACTATATCAGGAATACGGCAGCAATGTTTTTCAAAGTAATATGCCTAATTAACATTGCGCAATTACCTGTTGCTTCGTAATTATTTAAAACTCCGGTAACCATGGAATTATACAGACTGACAATAAGATAGACAAGGATAAACGGTACAGAGTTGTGACGAAATGTCAACCTGTTCTCATAACCTCGAATTCTGCGGGGTTTTGTGTTTATATAAATAATCCATACAACACCAAAAATTTGAATGGTTAACTCCAAACAAGCTAGTGCCTGTGAAATCTCCTTATTATCCACTCTTATCAAGCAGCTTCTCGTATTCAGTTAATTAACTCGGGCTTCATTTGCATCTCCTTGTGCTGTGTGTATCTTACAAACGTGGTTGGAATGTAGCCGGTATTTATTTGGTGCCTGGGAAAGTGTCAGTAATTGTGCTCTGAGTGCCCCTGAAAGGCCCTGATTCGATTATGTCCAATACTTGTTTCTCTGTGCCTGAAACCCGAACATCTGTTGCCGTCCACTATCTTCCTGGAACCACTCTCCTCGCCCTTTGTTGGCGTGAGTTCTTTCAGCTTCTGCTATGTTACTGTAGCATTTCTTCTAAACTAATCGCATATCAGCAAATTCGTGAAAGGAAATTCAACGTAAGTCACAGTTTGACAAATTATTGTTATTATTGACAAGGGCTATCCACCTGTAACTATCTGTTAATGACAAAAA